AGAGAGAGAGAGAGAGAGAGGGAGAGAGACAGACAGACAGACACACACACACACACACACACACACACACACACACACACACAGAAATTAAGACAGAAAATAAGTCCTAGGCTAAATTCCCAGCGTTTCCAGTAACTTGCCCAGGGCACAAGCACTAGTTTATATTCCTTACATAAGCTAACCCACACCTTTGTGACAAACAGCACACTTCTGTATTGCATTTGTTTGATAGTTTCAATTTGTCTGTCTGTCTGCCCATCCATCCATACATCTATCTATATATCTATCTATATATTTAGTTGGTTTGTTGAGACAGGGTTTCTCTGTAGCTTTGGAGCCTGTCATGGCACTGACTGTGTAGACCAGGCTGGCCTCCTGAGTACTGGGATAAAAGGCGTGTGCCACCACTGCCCGGCAAAAGTTTCAATTTATTATTTTAGAAATCAGCAAACTATTCCAGTACTCCTCCCAGCTTAGAAACATATTTCAAAACTCTAGATAATCCTTATTTTGAGCTATTTTCTTTTGCATTTTTTATTTTAAACGTTATTATTAAAAATTGCAAATAAAAACTTTGTCATGAGCATAGTCACATGAGATTCTCTGGAAAAGCAATTTGTGTTCCCAAGGATACCAGTCAGGTCATCACACTTAACCCTGCTGAGCCATCTCTCTGGCCCTGCCCTCCCCACCCCTCACGTATGATAGTATAGGAGAAACAAACCTTGGTCGGCGTTTAAAAAGTTTGTAGAGTATATCCACCTGGTGACCAGAAACTTCAGAAAATTCCTTTTTGAAGCTGCGATCCAGAATCTAAGGACAAACACATCGTTTCCAGGATTGCAGACATACACAAGTTTCCCACTGGTTAATGCAATCTCTAAGTTACAGACGGTATGTGTCACTGTGACATTAAAACCTGGTTTTTACAATTGTTGAAGAGCAGCCATTCTCTATGCACAGACTTCCTTTAGGGTCTGTTCCTAGGGAGCATGCCAGCTCGATAAAAATGTTATCTTATAGAACAGATTTTTTTAAAAGCATCTAGAAGTGTCCCCAAATAATATTTACTCAGAAAACATGAAAGTCACTGTTCAATCCATGTCATCTTACTCCTTGCCCACCGCATCTTGTCCCATCGGATTGCTGTCATTCTAGCTATTGCTCCTGTTACAAACTGCATGAGCAACACACGGGCTTGACTAGCCCAAGTTTGAGAACCCTAAACTTGATGACCTCACTAACATTTTTTCCCCACAAGGAAAAGCTTAACTTAGGAAATTAAAAAAAAAAAAAAAACTTTTCTAACCCACAGATTTTACAGAAATGAAATTCACTCACGACTAAAGGTGATAGAAAGAGAACAAGCAATCCACGAGGACATCAATTTATGCCCTGATCTCACCCTCCACCCCAAGGGCAAAAACTCTGCACCGTCCAGTGGATGAGCCGATGACTCACTTTGTCCTCTGCCACCAGGATGTCGTGTTGCTCCTTGAATACATCCAGATCTTCCTTAGCTTTCTGGATGGCTTTTGAACTCTTGCTCTACAGTAAAGGCAGGGATGGTTAATGGAACTGGAGAGTTCTCAGGTTAAAGAGAGCTATAGGCGACTCTAACAGGTGTAAGAAACTGGTGGGATGCAACGGGGCGAGAGCCAGCGGGAGCATGTTTTCCCATCTCTCTGCAAAGGCCTCCTCCTGTGTCTAAGATGTCTAATAGCCTACAGGGGTGTTATGATACATTTCAGATACAGTCTTACTATGTAGCCCAGGCTGGCCTTTAACTTATGGTCCTCCTGTGTTAGCCTCCCAAGTGCTGGATTATAGGAATGTACCACTATGCCTGGTATAAGTTCTTGGCATATGTTATAAATAGACCCTACTTCCTTCCTTCCTTCCTTCCTTTCTTTCTTTCTTTCTTTCTCTCTTTCTTTCTTCCTTTCTTTCTTTCTTTTTTGGTTTTGTTTTTGATGCAGGATCTCTGTAAGTAGCTCTGGCTGTCTTGGAACTCACTCTGTAGACAGACTGGCCTTGAATTCAGAGATCTGCCTGCCTCTGCCTCCTGAGTGCTGAGGCATGTACCACCACCGCCACTCCTGGTCACATAAACAGACTCTTAAAAGTGAGTCCACAAGTCATTCATGATGCATAAATGTGTTCATACTGTGCTTCAGTAACAATATCAACCCCTGTTGAAACATATATTAAGAATCAGCATTGATACTCATCTCTTTAATAAATCTTATCTGTCCGTGTTCATATTTACTGTTTCTGAATTAGAAAGTTTTCATTCCATAGGCAACACATCACTTCTAGGTTCAGTGACACTTGGGACTACCACATGGTCCACGGAGAACGATATTCCATGGAGAATGGCAGCCTGTGCACAGCTTCAAAGATTGTGTGCATCTATCAAGGTCCTACAGCCAGTCCATGGCTAAAAGCTGTGTTGCTGTTGGGTTTTTGTCTTTGTTTTTTTTTTGTTTTTGTTTTTGTTTTTGATTTTGGGGTCCATGGCTAAAAGCTGTGTTGCTGTTGGGTTTTTGTCTTTGTTTTTTTGTTTTGTTTTGTTTTGTTTTTGTTTTTGATTTTGGTTTTTTTTCGAGACAGGGTTTTTCTGTGTAGCTTTGGCTGTCCTGGAACTCGCTCTGTAGACCAGGCTGGCCTTGAACTCAAAGAGATGTGCTTGTCTCTGCCTCCTGAGTGCTGGGATTAGATGTGTGCACCACTGCAGGCTGGTATTAAAAGCTGTATTTTTAAATTTAATTCTGAGAATCAATTTGGTCTTGTCTTCTCTATAGCACTACAGTGTTCTGAATCTGAGATGCAGAATGGTGTCACCTAATTAAGAGACTGACTTGGGTACTTCTACCTGGTCATCTAGCAAAGTCCCACATGTGGAATGGACTATGAGCATGGCTGAACAGGAACGGCAGAAGGAAAACTATGCAGTAAAATTACCAGACATCATTGTAACAGTACCCACTTGCCTCTCGTCTCACTTGGTTAGAGTCGAGTCTGTGACTCTAATAAAACAAGGCTCCAGATGTGGGGCCTGTGTCCAAACGAGCAGCATGGATGCTGGAGAGCCAGTGGCACAGATGCCTGAGAGCCCGGGACTTACTTTTTCCTCCTGCTTCTTCAGAAGGTAGTTGTTCAGGAACTGTTCCCTGGAGTTCAGTTCTTCATCCAGGAGCAAAGAAAACACAAGGTTGTTTATTTTCAGTTCCTCCTGTGGAAATAGGAAGAGGACAAGCATTAAATGTCAATGTTCCTAGCCAAGAAAGAACATTCTATTGGCGGTCACAGACTTGGCGCTTACTAGTCAGGTAAGCTCACGAGGAAAGGAGGGCCTTAAATGGACGCCTTAAAGAAAAGTCAAATAGGGACACATACAGAAAAGTACTTAACACCAATGCATTATTTAATGTGTTCTGATCAGGTCAACACTCTTAGTCATTACCACTCAATTAAGAAAAACAAAAAACAGCTTTGCCAGCACAGAACCTAGGTGTCAATCAGGGCTCAAGCCCCAGCAGTGACCACTGCTTTGACTTCAACAATAACAAACTCCCGTGTTTCTGTCATTCTACCTCAGTGTGGACCTGTCATGGTGCCATAAATTGTCCATTGACAATATTTTGTCACATCTTCTGAATCTCTTAGAACCTCATGTCCTCCTATGTCCCCTCCCCTCCTTCCCCTCCTTCACAATTCATTTGTAGCATTCAGCAGCCTGTAGTTCTGTGTCTCCCCAGTGGCTTACTCTCAGTGCAGTGTAGAAAGAAGGCCCCCAAACCCCTTCTAGTCCTTGAAGATCAGCAGCTGGATCCAGAGGCCCGGTCAGACCTTGTCTGGAGCCTTTTGGCAAAAGTGTGGGTTGCTCTGTGTTCTCTGGTCAGGGCTCCCACGCTATTGTGCTGTCTTTGGGGGATGCTTGCAGCTATGGGTGTTCTAAGCATGAGCCCCGTAAATCTATTGACAGTTGCAAAATGATCACGCTCTGTTTTCATTTACTTACTGAAATACTTTAATTATTTATTAATTTGTTTATTTTGTTTTTGGAGACAGAGTTTCACCACCTGGCTTGAAATAGTTTATAAAGAGATGCTCCTCCTTATAATTTTGTCACCGGGAGTAGAGTTTGTACAGGAGAGTCAGTATGGATATTAGATCCTTTACAATTTGGGACATTGCCTTGTTGTTATTGTCTGAAGGTGACAGATGTTGGCTATTAACCTGAAAGACTCTAGGGTGGTCGACCAGCGAGAAGCCTCTGGGCTTGGCTGTGGGGAGTTATCTTGATTACCTTGTGAGGGAAGACAGACGTTGATTGTGGTTGGGATCACTCATTGGACGGGAACTACAGACCATACAGAGGGAGGAAGAGACATGGGCAGCACACACATGAAGGTGGGGTTTAAGAGAGTGGGAGCCAGCCCCTCCTCTACCTTTTCATGGGCCCCGTCTGCACACATGCTTCATTGCTCTTCTGACTGGACATAGTGAGAGCAGCTGCTTCAGACTCCTGATGCCTGGGCTTCCCTGCCTGCCACAATGGACTGCAACTTAAAACTCTGAGCTAAAATGAACTCTTTGTCCCTTTTGTCAGAGTATTTTATTACAGCCTCAGAAAAGGAAACCATGACAGTGACCAACAGGCATTTTCTTTAAAAAATGTCACAAAGTCATGAATCTGGAAAAATTTGATGAGTTTTAACAAATTGAAAAATAATAAAAATAATATATAGTAATAATTGTTGTTGCTGTTGTCATCGTTGGTGCTGGAGCTTTGCACATGCAAGGCAAGTGTTCTACCCCCGCCTTTTATTTTTGATTTTTAAATGGTGTCCTTTAGAGCACAATTGACCATAGCTCCTGAGTCCTTTGGACATTTCCTAGTAGTCTGGTCTCCCATCATCATGTGTACAAGAAGATATTCTAAACATGCTTAAGAAAAACAACAGCGTTATTGAAGCATTTTCCACATACTATACTATGTATAATCTGATGCTCTGAAACATGTGCTCAGCTATGTAGCTATCACCAGCTTAGTCAAGTTTAGAGCAAGTCACCATTCCCAGAGAAAACTTTTCCATTCCTATTTTATATCCATCTCCCCAGAACCTCTGGGAAGTGCCTCCCTTTCCCTAAAGCAGCTGCTTACCAGGATGAAGAGAAGTCAGCAGGAGAGAGAGAGAGAGAGTATAGCAGTGCCTGACTGAGGCAGGGGTGGGGGGACACTGGCATGTAGGGCCTGGGCACCAGGGAAGTGTTCGGGTCAGCTCCTAAGATGGCTTGATGGCTCACAGCCTACGTAAAAGGGCAAGATACAGAAGCAAAGCCTCCATTTACCTGGTTGATAACCATCTCTGCCTTCACTCTTCTTTCAAAGAGCCTCTTCAAATGCTCGTCAAAGTTCTGGGTGCTCTCCTGGATAGAGTTTTGAAGTTTCTTCAGTTCTGTTTCTAGAGACTAAATGGGTGGCGATAAAACAATGCATTAAACACTTGTCGCAGCTGGTCCTTGCAT